AGAAGAAACCCTCGCTCCAACATTAAGCACAACAGGTGTAGCTCCTTGCTTAATGATGAGTTCTCAAGCAGCCACCAGCTTCATTCAGCAACTGTAGACAGAGTGAATCCATCTTATTCATGTTTATATCAAACGAAACTGCTGAAAACTGGCTGGCAAAGTGTTCAAGATCATTTCTATCTGTGTAGCATTGTCAACCTCAGCACCAAGAACCTCCATGTTATTCAGAAGACTCATCATCTTCAAGACATGAGTTCTAACTGGGGTCCCCTCCTCCATTTTGGAAGTAAGAATCTCCCTCAGTGCGTTTTGCCTTGCTGCACTAGTTTGATCTCCAAACATCTCCTTGAGATTTTCGAGCATGTCAAAAGCTGTGTCCATCGTCTGATGCTGATGTTGCAAAACATTTGGCACAGAAGCCAAAATGTAACATCGCGCCATCTCATCAGCTTTAACCCATTTCTGGTAAGCTCTGGTGACCTCCTCAGAGGCACCCTCACCGGGTTTTAGGCACCTCAAACACGGGTTTTTCAGGACAAACTTCAGTAAGCAAACAAACTTATACTCCTCAGCAGTAAGGCAAAACATGTCCAAATTCCTCTTGTCCAGTCAACCAATAGTTTGGACCCTCAGTTATGTTTTGGGTTAAGATGTTTGCAACAGGGGACTGAACTGATGCCATTCTCTACTTCATGCATTATAACAAAAAGAATATCAACTAATAAAACATTGAAAATCAAAATTGCAAAATATACCAACTTTGATAATCAAAATTCAAAAAAAATACACATTTCACAACATTCACATTCATGAATAGCAACCTCGATGGGAGAATTCAACCAATCACATGTTTTGCATATTATAATTAGATAAGACCGGCACATACTACTCGATGGGAGATAGCATGCCTCTTAAATTAACATTAATGTGTGAGAAAATATTACATCTGATTCATGTCACTAATTAATTTACTCAGATGGAGAGTTAAATCAATACAAACAAATTAGACTAGTTCAGTAATTATATTAAAACATGACATCTTCCATGGGGAAGAAATGCAAATAATTATAACTAGAAAGTAATAAAAAACCACTCACAAATTAATTCATATAATTAAAATAAATTAATTATAATCAATAATTATAATCAAAATTGCAAAATAATATATTTTAAGAAATTTTGCAAAAATAAAATTAAACAATTAACATTTTTGGTTGAAAATGTTAAAATTTAGTGTTCTGGTCTATTTATGCAAATAAATTAAAACATTCTGGGTTTATTTTGCAAAAACAGAAACATTCTGGGCCATTTCGTAAATTTCAAGAGTATTATAAGAAATAAAAATAAATAAATTTTTATTTAAGAATTTATAGTCTAGGCAATTTTAATAAAACCAAAAACAATCAGGGTCACTTTATAATTTAAATAACTCCAGGGGCCAAAACGGAATAACTGATACTTTCTGGGTCAAAATGTAAAAAATTAAAGTCCAGGGGTTAAAATATAATAAACAGAAAGATTCAGGGTCAAAAAATAAAAATAAAAACTTAAAGATCAAGGGTCAAAAATATAAAATTTAAAAAAATTGAGGGACCAGACGGGAATTTTGGCAAGCAGTAGCTGCTTCGTGAGCCCTAGCCGCCGCTACCCCTTTTCCCTTCAACCTCCATTTACTGATCTTTTCCTTTTTTTTTTTTTCCGTCTTTTCTTGCCCCTCTCCTCTTCATCGAAACAAAACCCAAAATATTAATATATATATTGACCTGGGCTGGGCTAACATCCGATATTTTATTGTAAAGTAAAGATAATTTAATAAACCTATTCTAGTTAGTAAACTTTTAATTTTATTATGATATCAATCTTTTATTATATATCAACTATATATAAATTCAATCTCATTCCTAATTAAGAATTTGTCATGTCATATTCAAGTATATACATGTTTAGTTTAATTGCTTTGATTATCAAGAAAATTTATCCAGTTTTTTTTAACTTCAAAAATTATTAACATCAAGCTTTACTAATTTAAAATTATGAAGTTCGAAATCATTTTTCTATCTTCTCGGTAAATATAACATTAACTCACCTTTATTTAGACAAATTAAAAAATAGTTTTATTTATATTTGCCTTTAAATTAAGTAATCCCTTCAACCTCCTTGTCGTGTTTAGATTTAATAGATGTAATAGATTAAAGTTTATAAGATGTCCAGTTGTCTGGGGTTTCCATGAGAAATTGCTTTGGAATAGGTTCCACAATTGCTTTGTTTCTGTTTCGACGTTTTGGTGTAGGCACAAATAGTCAATATCTTAGTATTATGTTTATAATATTACATATTCGGTAGCATTTATATAATAGCCAATCTCTTAGCTATAGTAATAATATAGTTAATAATAGTTATAATAGCTATAATGTAAATCATAATAATTCTTAAATATATGAGTTATTGCAATATTTAATTATTATAATATTTATAAATTTAAATTAAAAACATAACAAGTCAAGTTAGTTTTCCATTTTGGAAAAATTTTCCCTTACGTTCTACTTTTATTTTTTCATTATTTATTTATTTATTTATTTTTGGTAATGATATTATTTCACATTAAAAATTATCTAGGTTTGAGGTATTACTTTAAATCTTTTGGATTATCAAAAGTTTATTTGCTTGACCTATCAAAAGCTTGATACAATTTCAACTGTGTAGGTCCTCTTTTCTTAAACATCGAGGTAATAGTTCCTTAAATTAAGGTAGTTGAAAAAATAAAAGTAACCGAAGATTTTAGTTCATTAAATTAGTATTAAAATTAAATTATAAAAATATTTAATGATAAAACTATAACATGAATTAAATAGATATCGAGAGTGAAATTCAAAATTTATAGATTTGAGCTAAAGATTCCAACCACTAGAGAATATATGTTGTGTTAAAAAATTGATTATTTTATGTATATGTTGTGTTAAAAAAATAATTGTAAAATTTTTTTATTGTTATAATATTGATCTTTTTAAAATACTATATAATGTTTAAATATTGTCCATTAATATTCTAACAATTTTTTATAACTTTATTAATAAAATAAATTGGACTGAATGAGAATAGTTCATAGTAAAAAAGGCTAATATTTAAAAGTCAGTTAGCAATCTTATCATTGAACAAACAAATGGTAAATAATATTATAATTGCCTATCTCAATTAAGAAATTAATAAAAATTTAATATTTAAATATAATAATAATAAATAATTATTTGAACTCATATTAAATTTTACTCATTACGTTTTATTAGTATGAAAATAGATTAATTAATATTTTATTTACAACACACTTCTTATCAAGATAAGTTAATAAACTATATTTTATAAACTATAAATTAAATTTTTTATTAATATTTTTTTATTTTTAATTCATGAAATCCTAGTTCATGATATTTGTTCTCCAATTGATTTAGAGTAGGTTGAAAAACAATCAAAGGAAAATGAAAATGATTTAGAGTAGTTCATCTCACAATAATTTGCAGCTTATAAACATGGCACGATTTGTTTAGATTTTTATTTTTTCATTCTATAATAAAGCTTGAACCTAAAAGCTTGCTTCCCTTTATACTGCTCGTGTACTGTCATTATCAACAACAAAATGGTTTAAAAAATTAACTTTCTAGTTCAAATCCTCCACTTGCAAAGGCCTATGGGGTAGCCAACGCGCTGAATTTTTCAAAAACTGAAAAACAATAATGCTAAGGAAATGACTATTATCTACAGTTAGAGAATTGAATAAATACAAAAAAACAAGATATCAGAAACCGTAATGCCCAATTCTCTTGACACTACAAGCATAGAGAGAGTCTACAAAAAATGTATTTTTTGGAAATGGCAAAAATATTGCATGAACGAAAAGGTTAACAGGTGAAAGAACATAACGAAAGTATAAAATAATGACGTGGAGGAAATGTGGCTAATTTCTACTTCAACAGGATTGATGAAGTTTTGAGGTATAACACTTTTATTTGTTGTTTTTCATATTATTAGATATTAAATTTTAACTAGCTCTTTTTTTTTTTTTTTTATTTTTTTTTTTTTTTTAAATGAACCAGCCGCGAAGGAGGAGAAGAAAAAAAATAAAACAAGCAGCGAAGAAGGAGAGTAAAGAAATGACGAAGACGAACATATAAGCAAAATCAGTCTTTTTAATATGAATTATGATTTGTTTCTGGTTTGCTATCGAATAGGAAAAAAAAAAAAAAAAAAAAAAAATACACGACCAACGGCATATTGATGTATATATATGCTCGGTTTCTTATTTGGAAATAATTTCACTGAAAAAGTTTAACTAATTAGCTTAGTTTTCAGACAACTCAGTAGATTCCCGACTAGAAGATAAAATTTGTTTTCTCACCTTTATGAGGACTGAAGTAGCTTAATTACTATTCCAATCAGCACCATATGTTAACGTCTATCAATTAAGATAATTGAGTTTAATTATCATTTTCGAGAAGGTTGCACGAAGTGATCTAATAATGAAGGATATGGAACTATTATAGACCTGTATATAAAGTGCGTTGACAGTGATCTGTGACATTAACGTGGAATATTAGTGCATCGATGGAGATTCACTTGAATGAAAACAAACATATACGAATATATGGACCGTTCTGGAATCACTGTAGAATTGCAGACAAGTTTAAATGAACTTTCTTTGTAAATGATGATGTCTAAGCAGACAAAAAAAATGACAGGTTGCATTTGCATATGTGACTTTCTTATTTGCTGATCGAAAAAAAAAAAAAAAAAAAAAGTATCTTATGATTTGTGCAATGAAAGAAAGCGAACTACAATACAACAATTCTATTTACTAATTTTACTTCGACAAAAGCTAATAGGAAGTGAATGAAAGGCTGACTGACTGGCTGAGCAAATGCATAATGTACTTCCATGGCAAAAGACTAGTCCCAGGCATCCAAGAGACCAATACCAATATACCAAGAGCAGGGTAAAATAAACTCAAATATTAAAATGAAAAATATCTATTTGGCATGCATCATATATTCAAATATGTATGAATGTGTTTATTCCATTGAACTTGTATATTCTTCCAGAAATGAAATATTATCACTATTGAGTTTGTATATCTTTTCAGAAATGAAGATAATCTCCCAAGAAAAGCAGATACAGGAATCTTGAAGATGAGCCACCGCCAGATCATAGGATTAGAAATTGTGTTCTGACCAAGAGTGCAATCTTCTAGAGAAAATGAACAGTCAAAATCTGGAAGGCGAACACATACTAAAGAGGAGAAACATATAAAGGGGCCCTGACAATGAAACCATCACAATTAGCGATGATCTCCTCCTCCATTAGCAGCCACATTGGCCAAAGCCCTACAAGTGTCATAAGACTCGAGTTATGATCATAACAACAGAACACATGTTTGGACACATCATACACTCACCAATGTTGGTACTCTTAAAATAGTGTGAACATCCAATAAATGTAATTAAATAGACAGTCCCCAAAATTTTTGAACATGAAATAGACTTGGAAAATGCTTTGAACATGCAACGCTGTTCAATGACACCATAAAGAAAAATATGATTTACTTAAACTAACAGGGGGCATAACAAATGATAAGGACTGTAATCTTAAACCTAAGCACTTCCACAATCAGGACTTGCCGAATTCCTCCATTTCACTCGTTGACCGTCGAGCATAAGATTTACTCCGTTTCAAGTGCAAGATGCAATATACCTTTTTAGTAGACAAGTTTGTTCTGAATCTGGCATCATAGTGCTGAACACTTAAAAAGCAATATACCTTTTTAGTAGACAAGTTTGTCCTGAATCTGGCATCATAGTGCTGTTCTTAAGGACCATTACATTTTTCAATGTAGTTTTTTTTTTTTCTTTCTTTTTTGAGTGTTTGTGTGAACATTACGTTTTTTAGCTATCAAATTCTCCGATTTGAAGAAGAAGAATAAATGTACAAATTACAAGTTGATGAAGCCTAGAAACAAACATGACACCCATACAACGACCAAATCACAACCTGCATGATTCACACAAATCCATGAATGCATGCATATGTATATATTTGTTCAGTGTTTAAATTATTTGAACACGAAAATACAGTTAAAACATCCATTCTGCTACAAGTCTTCCCACATCCTCACATATTCAAGTGACATGCATGTTCACACAAACACAGTGAGAGCCACAAGAAACTAAGAAAACAAGAAAACTAAGAAAAATCAAAAGTGGATTTATTTTTAAATAGGCAAGCAATTATTCCATTGCCTTCTTGAGCTGAATAGCTTTAAGTTGGTATCCCTGCTACTCCTTCAACCTAGAATTTCTGTTTAGAACTAAGCCAACAGAATGATTTGGGAATCAAAGGACTCATCTGCTAAATTCACAGTACAAGTATCTTATGATTTGTGCAATGAAAGAAAGCGAACTACAATACAACAATTCTATTTACTAATTTTACTTCGACAAAAGCTAATAGGAAGTGAATGAAAGGCTGACTGACTGGCTGAGCAAATGCATAATGTACTTCCATGGCAAAAGACTAGTCCCAGGCATCCAAGAGACCAATACCAATATACCAAGAGCAGGGTAAAATAAACTCAAATATTAAAATGAAAAATATCTATTTGGCATGCATCATATATTCAAATATGTATGAATGTGTTTATTCCATTGAACTTGTATATTCTTCCAGAAATGAAATATTATCACTATTGAGTTTGTATATCTTTTCAGAAATGAAGATAATCTCCCAAGAAAAGCAGATACAGGAATCTTGAAGATGAGCCACCGCCAGATCATAGGATTAGAAATTGTGTTCTGACCAAGAGTGCAATCTTCTAGAGAAAATGAACAGTCAAAATCTGGAAGGCGAACACATACCTAAGTAGTGATACTTTTACCATAAACATATTTTTGAGACAGACCATATGAGTGAGTTACACATGATTGTAAATTCAACAGTATCAGGTGCGAACCTGCAATTCAACCCGATTAGCTTATTTCATTATATCAAATTTATCCTAAATGTTTAACTCTATATTCGCTTCTGTTCAACAAAAATTTAAAATCCATCTTGTTTATTTGTCTATGCCTACATCAGATGTCAATAAAAAAAACCCAGCTAAAAACAGCAACATAAGTTCCTTAGATAAGTAATAAACAAGCTCCAAATTCAAACAGACCATTCTTGAGTTACCAATATTCAGAAGAACTTGAAAGTGATTAATAAATAATCACATTCAATTGAATCTTCACCCATTTGCAACCAAAACATCATTGCTAGAGCAACCTACACCACACATTCAAATTTTCTTATCATGGTCCCAGGATAACAAATATGATTTTGATTATCATTAGGGCCTAGATGACATCAGAGCTTGAACACTTAAAAACACCAGAGATGTGTGCGTTAAAGCAACTAATGTGGCGTTTGGCATAACATATGATAAAGTGGCACATCTTCCATTACAAGGGATCTTACAATGGGAAACAAAAAAATAATAATGCATAGTGAATTGCATAATCAGCCCAACATAATTAAAATATAAAGAAAGCAATATTTTACTGGTTTAAATGCGACTTGTACATCTTTGCCAGCACAGTTGCACATAAAACAAATATAAAATGTTTCACCAAGCAAACGCCATTTTCTGAAGCCTGGATATTAGAATGATAATAAAAATGCTCTACAGAAACATCAATCCTAGTACAGGAATGAATGTTTCAGAATTCTTTGGCGAGCACAAAAATATTCAGTCATTTTCCATTTTGAGCTTCATTGCAAAAAGCAAATAAACTACTAACTCAAAATTAAAATTCACATCCGCAAAAAACCATAGATGCATGCTTTTAATAGCAGTTAATAAAATTACCAAACAGAAAAACAATTGGAATCATTCCAGAATAAATAAATGAACTGATTTTTCCAAGATTAAAATCGAATTGAATAGATTAAAGAACCAAAAAAAAGGAGGAAAACAAATGTCGAACTCACTTTTTATGGCGTCGTCCCTTCTTTGGACCCCAGCCCTCCAATTTAGCGACCGGACAACCACACCTCGATCGAAAAAGCAAAATCGCCCTCCCATTAGGCGGAGCCATCTTCCTCAATTCAGCTCGAAGACACTCATAATCGGAATTACCTTCACTCCCTCCTTTCCAAGGCAACTTATCGATCTCTTTAGCCCCAGTAGATTTGACACAATCCTCGGTCTGCAACTGCAAATCAAACTCCATCGCTTTCTTCAATCCCTTGCATCCAGGCTTGTCGCACTTGCGAGATCTTGGCCCGCAGCAGAACTCAACAAATAGAACAGAAAAGAGAAATAGAGCCAAGAAGCCGCAAATGTAGGAAATGGAAGGGACATTGATGGCAAGGTGAAAGGAAGAGTTAGAGAGGAGGATTGATAGGGAGCGAAAGATGTAAGAAAAGTAAGAAGTTAGAAGAAATATCCCTGAGAAGAGGACGAGAATCAAGATTAGAATGTCAAGGGTGGCTGATGGAGAGTGTTTACAAAGAAGAGCAGAGGAAGAAGAAGAAGTTGGATTAGGGTTAGGGTTTGATGAAGAATAAGAAGATAATTTGAGGGGTTTTGAAGAGGAAGAGGGAGAGGGCATGGTGTAAAGGAGTTGGTGCATGTTAAACACAGAAATGATGGAAATCCTTGCAGCTTTGTGTTCAAATTTAAGCTTATTTGTGCTTTTTTATTCATTAATTACTTATTAGAAAGATACTGACCATTCTTCCAAGTTCTAATTATCACACAATCCACCAGATTTTCAAGAATCTGTGTGGCTCACCTCTGAAGTGATTTTCAGTTCTTAGCTACTGCTACTATCAATTCTTGTTTTTATTATTATTATTATTTATTTTATTTCATTTTTTACAAGAGAAGAGGAGAGCATTACACTTCAATTCTTACATAATAATAAGATTTTTATCCAAGTCCCTAACCCCAGCCAACCTAAGAGATCACAGGTATTCAACAACTCGTGTATTAACAAACAGTTATGTAGGTATTTCCATACAATATGTAAAAGGATGCCTAAAAGAACTCCCGGTCAGGCAAAATGACTGGAGCTACAAGGGTCCATACATAGAGCCCAGCAGTGACCCATTCGGTGCAGATCCGAACCCACACTGATATCCAGCCAACGTCTATCAGGTCGGAGTTTTCTGATGAGTTGGTCCAGCCTGAAAGAAGCATTGCAGAATACATGCTGGCCAAGGCAAATATCAGGTGGAAGAATGTATATGAATAACTCACAGGCTTTGCCTCTTTTTCCTTCTTCTCTTTTCCTTCTTCCAACTGTTCTTCAAGAAGAGGTTTCTTTGCATCTGCAACAAAAGATTAGCAACATTTGGATTCAACTGCAAGGTTTAATTTTCTAAATATAGTAAAGAATATTTGCTTTGCAGATACAAGAACCATATATTGACTTCGTGATGCTATATTCGAAGACATCTTTGGACCCGTTGAAGAAATAAAAAGCCTATGATTATTCACCAGACAACTCCAAATTTCGAAGTGATCAATAGACAAATGGCTTTAACATTTCTATGGTGGCATCAGCAGAAGTAGGCAAGGTCCACAGTTTACTTTTGGGGTATTGAGCAAAAACTACAGGAGGCAGCAGGAAAAATCAATGGTGACAACTCATAGGCAGCACAATTGATTGCCTCAGGACTAAGTCTGACTTCAAATCAAAGGAGGAATTTTTTTTTTTTTAATACATTTTCCCATCATAGTGCATAAAAAAGGTTGCATCAAGGATTCTTTTCCCCAGTTATAAAGATTACCAGATGACTTAGGTGAAGACGGTGGTGACAGAAATGTCGTTGAAGACCCAGCACGAACAGCAGAGTATAGGACTGAGAGAACTGTTGTAAGCATCCCAAGCACAAGTGTGCTTGTAGAGACTGCTTTTGTACTTTTGTGGAGACCATTGCATGCATAATCGAGTGGTTCACTAGAGAGACCGGTATAGCAAACATAAGCACAATACACTGATATCACTGAAGCAGGCAATAGGCTTCCATTAACCTAATTGAAATTCCAGCCACAATGATATTGCAAGTTAAACAACTGTTACTTCCATAAATGTTAGAATACTAATACTTTCATATGTGTAACCATGCAAATCAGATAGTTAAAGCCATAAGATAACACTTATGTGGAAAATCAATGAAATATAGAAAAAATAATCTTATCCTCACCGTAGGATGTAATGCTATTATAGCAAATACAAATGCCAGAATCATGGTCATGACAATGAAGAAGATATTGAGGCCACAGTCGTGGCCAGACGGGTTGAACCACAAAAATAAAATGCCAGAGAATGTGAATGCTGCAAGATAGCACACGATTGACACAGCAAGTAACGCAATATACCTAAAAACAAGCAATTCAAGGATTAGAAATAAAAAAGAAATGATGAGAAAGAATACTTAGAAGACACATAAATTTGAGGGCAACCATTTCTGTTCATCTTTCTCAACCCATGCATCATTCCACGAGTGCGTAAAGTCTAGCAATATAATCACTTGAACCAACAAAAATAGGCCTGCTCCAAATTTTGATGCAATTCCTGCAAGTAAGTTTCACATACATCGGTCAACTATGAGGTTCAGCATCAAATATCAGGAAAAAACAACAATTCATTACAAATTGTTACCAACAAAGGCAATATTATAGGCCAAGGGAAGTGTAATCATTGAAGGAAAAGGAAATAAATGAACAAAAGATTATCTCAACTTTGAAAAGCAATAGTCATTTTTCCGTGCTTTCATGCAGAGCTAACCAGATTTAAACTATGAAAGAACCCTTGGGGGGGGGAGGTATTTGATAGAGGATTCCTGGAAAACCAATATATTCCCAAAGAAGTTGCACTTTGCACAGGCCATAAATAAAGTTTAGGTCCATGTCAATAGAACTAGTCTTGCAAACGAATGGATTGGATCGAATTGGAATATGGAAATTCGAAGTATTAAGAAAACCATAAAATTCCTCGTTTAAATAGAAACTATTGTGCTATCGTATCATTAAAAACAATAATAGGCACCAACGGCTTGGACATCCGCAAGTTTTAGCTTTAAATAATTTACATAATAAAGGCCTCATTTCTGTTAATGGTCCATTAAAAATAAAAAATTTGTGTGATAGTTGTCAACTAGGAAAGCTTAGTCGATTTCCGTTTTCAAATAGTTCTCACTCTACAACTGCTCCGTTTGAAAAACTTCATTGGGATTTATGGGGACCAGCTCCGGTTTTATCTCTTGAAAAATTTAAATTCTATGCTTGCTTGGTAGATGACTGTACTAAATATGTTTGGCTAATTCCATTGCGTATGAAATCAGATTTTTATTCGAACATGAGGACGACAAGCAAAAGCCAGATCACCATCTTTGCAATCCATCCACCATGATGCCACGAGTCACGCTTATCATTTTGGTCTTTCACGCCAATCATAATTAGAGCAAATATTGCAAAGAACAAGAAATTCCCTAAGCTCACGCGAAGTACTGCTTGTATTTGAAACCATTCCTCAGAGTGTGTATCAGAAGAGTTTATCCCTGAACCATATATCATATGAGATTCTTATAACTGAATAATAAGTCTCATTTCACTGATTTCAAAACCTCTGTCTACCAGAGTAAAGCCATATGCATTCAGTTAATTTTGCTTTATAACCAAATTACTGCAAAATAATCCATCGAAATTCTTCAATTTGTTAGCAATTTTAGGATCGAAATCAACCCCTACAAATAATCAATTAAGGAAGTGTAAACTTTTAGTAATTCCAATTAGCAACATACAGTAATAAAAATAAACAAGCAAACCATCCTACCACAAGCTGCATAAAAATGGATAAGTGTTGCCTGTATAAAGCCCTATGAATCAAAACTCATCTTTACAGCAATACTGTGAAATTGCTGACCCTAGCCTATTGTCATTGTTCTCCCACATGCAGAAATCAAATCGACCATCGTAACATCATTAGGTACCAACCCAATGGATACCACGGACCGATACATCATGAAAGCTTCATTTAACTTTTCTACTCTAACATAACCATCAATTATAGTACTCCATGAAACCACATCTTTAGATGGGATCTCCTCAAACACCTCTTTAGCCAAATCAATGAAACCTGCTTTCGCGTACCCATTTAACATTACATTCCATGAGACTATATTCCTCTCAGGCATCTCATCAAACAAAGATCTTGCATAGTTGCACAACTGCCAAGTCATGCAGCAGCAGTGCTGCCAACAGCTTAGGATGATCACGCAACAGTCTCACTGCCAGCCCATTAGCAGTGTTCAGGCGATTGTGCAGCAGCTACAGCTACAACAGTTTGCTGGCGTCTACTTCGATCAGGCTCAAGCTCAAGCCCAAGCTATGTTGGCCCTAAACTTGCCGTCAATATGCGGTATCTACCCAAGCTACAACACTGCTCCCTGTAGCATTCCCACCGTCGGTGGTATCTGGTACTGAATTGTAGCAGTATAGTAGTATAGGACACAAAAATAAAGTCATGCATCATCGTGTGTGACAAGTTGAAACATCGGGGTGATACAAATCTGAATAAAAATGTCATGCAAGTTTAAACATAATGCCTCTGTAAGGATAAATCCTAGTATATTGTTGAAATTAATTATCATCACCGTCTACTATGGTAGTTTTACTGTTCTTATTTATGAGCCCATTTATATTCTTGCTTTGGGCTTTCATTCTTGTCTGACGGAAATGGTTGGCGGCACTAACCCATTTATTCATCCGGGCTCTGCCCCATTTTGGGTGAGCTTAATTTTTTGTTTTAACCAATTAATCCAATATATTTATATTTCTTTTATGGGTATGAACCAGATAGTTTGTTTCAAGAAGGTATTTGGAGGGTTTGAAGTAGTAAAAATATAATTCAGTGGTGGAAAGTTTTTTTTTTCTGGAATGCATAATATGTTATATGTTTTCTCAGGTTTGAATCGGAATTCAAGAATAATATTCAAATAAACAGCTAAATTTCAAACTACGGACTAAAATTTGCATGTTTAAATACCTTTTGTAAGTTGTAATATAGACTTGATTCTGGTTTGGAGTTTGATGGTATAAGCTTAGGCAAATACTTTTTGGTCTCTCCCATTGGATAAAAAGTGGAACAAATGAAACAGTTAAATGTGCTGAAATTTGGTTGCTTCTGGAGAAACTATATATGCTAACTATTTTGAGATTGACAGATGAAAAAGCTTGCAATAGAGACATATCACCTCAGCTTCTTATCCAAAAACTAAGCAAATTAACTAAATAGTTGCAAATATCTAGTTCAAACTGATCCAAACAATCATTTCAAAATTTCTGTCTAAAACATTTCTTTTTCTTTTTTATTTTTCAAGAAAAAAAGAATAGAAAGATTATCTAAATCCCACAACTTAGCACATGCAGAACTTCATATGTGGCTTTAGCTCGTTTAATACCCACATAACAGCCCAGATTAAGCAGACCATTGCCACTGGGCAAGAGAATGGACCAAGAATTGACACATAACACCAATTAAGCTACTACAGAAAGTTAGTCATAAAAAAAAAAAAAAAAAAAGAGGACGCCAAACCCAACTGTTAAAGAAACAAAGAGATACGAGAGAGAGAGCAAGAGGAGATTGTCTTTTGTGAAATATCCAAATCTAATATGAATGTGGAGAGAAAATAGGATGAGAGGGAAAAAATTAATTTTCAATAATATATTAATTAATTTAGCAATAAAAGATATTTTTACTGATTTAAAATGTCATTTCAAAATATTTTTATAAATCCCTTTTTTTAAAGTATGAAAAGTCACAAGATTTTTTTTCGGACGCAAACTGAGGAGCAATTTATATGTTCGGCCCAAGGAAATTGTGCAGGAAGCTACATATAGTCTTTCTGATTCTTCTGGTCAAAGAGAAAAACACAAACAATGAAAAGAAAGGCATAAATTTTATTTTGGTTGAACCAATCAAAAACATTTTAACGTTAAAATTTCTTCTTTATAGTCCACTCTTTTCTTTTTCCTGCAAGTCTTCGTTGCCAAATTTCCAAGTCAACTGACGTGTTTAGCAGATAAAGATTTTGATATATATTGTTAAAAAGATGAAACAACAACGGAAAGGAGAATTACAGACCTTATTGCTGGTAGCTCTGTTTCTTATTTGTAATTGGGTTCTGGAGATGGCCGCTCTTTCTTTTATCGTTCTCTTATTCACAATTTTTCATCCTGTTTTTTCTTTCCTTGACGAAGATTGCCCTCCAATTTCCTGCGGAAGCCTGGCAAAACATTTCCCTTTCACCAACTCAACAATTCCTGGTTCTTGCAGTCCATTTATTGTTGTTGATGACTGCGGTACAGAAACTCTGAAGATTCGATTTTGGAGGGATTCAGAAAAATGGTATGAAATCCAAAACGTCTCCCAGGCTGATTTCATAACTAATATTTCTGTCATTGACAAAGGGCTAAGGTGGAATTTGAATTCCAGTAACTGTGAATCCTTTGATTGGAGTCTTCCCGAGTCTCCTTCAGCTCATTTTCAAATGATTTCAAATCTAGCAACCTTATACAAATGCAAGCACCCTGTACCTTCTCTAAATTCTGATTTTTATCATAAAAATTGCTCCGACTACAGTATCTTCTACCCTAAAAATGTTACTGCAAGTTTATTTCCAAGTCCTCCTGATTGTTCAATTCGGCGGCTTCCAATGAACACCGAAAATACTGATGATCACAATATATTCACAATGTTCACTGCTAACTTCTCTCTTCAAGTAACCGACCTCGAAGACCTCGAATACCTCGAATGTAAATCGTGTCAATTAGACGGAGGCAAGTGTTTACGCAAGGATAATCCAGAATTCCCACACTGTCTTAGAAAAAAGCACAATGGTAAAAGCAGACATATTCCTTTATGATGGTTGCGGGTATAAAGCGGAAACAACCTCATTAAAACCATATGAGGCAAACTAAAAACATTATTGAACAAATCAATAAACTGACCTCTTGAAGTGCAGAATCGCTCACCGGTCTTCTTTTCAGGAGATCTGGGTCCACCCACGATCTTCTGGAGTATCCCTAACTATCTCTCTTTTAATCCCTAACTATCTCTCTGAGTGGCAGAGAATAGAATAACGTGCGTCTCTCTATTCTTAGGGTTTTCAAATCTTATATTAAAAAAAACTCTCTTCGATAGAAAGATATTTTTTTTTAATATAAAATAAATTAAATAAAAAATTATTTAATTAAAATAATTATCAATTATTTTAAAACTGAATAATTTATCTATTATTTAATACACCCTTAACTTTCCAAATAATTAGGGCACTACAGGGACCTCAGGAATAAAATAAATCAGGCTACTAATTATAATAATAACCTATGTAGACCAACATATTCTTATTATAATTAATCATGAATTATTCCACCATGGAATTATTCCACTAAAAACTCATGACTGAACTCCTTATTTAATTTTTACTTTTCCACAACATAATAAAATAATGTTCCCCATGTTAAGATTACAGATGAGATGCTGTCATTTAAATAACTTACTGACAATTTATTTAAATCACAATATAACTTTAAGATTGTCGCTCAACTTATTTCATGTGTATTCAATATCCACCTATAGGATTTACACTATGAAACCTTATAAACTTACTTAAAGTGCATCATCAATCTCTAAACCGAGACATGGATTCTATCATTAATTAATATTTCACAAACACAATATATCTTTGCCCAATTCACCGAGAACATTATTCCAATAATGAAACTCACCCTTTAATGAATCAAAGCACAAGACAATCAATGTTTGCTCATATTAAAATAAATCAAGATTAAGAACGATAAACATTATTTCTAATGTCCTAGAGAACAGGTACAGGAGAGGAGATAGATAAATACATTCTTTGAATCAATTTGCATCCAAACCTCAGATTCATTGGAATCCGGTATCAGAATTGGTTGTGTATTTCTTTTTTAAGCTATGTTTCCATTGCGAAAATTTCCAATTAAATACAAAGAAATAATCGTCAATAGAAAATCATTCATAGCTATACTATTACATATGCATGGTTAATAGTATATCTCTATCAATTTCCCACTTAGACTCATAACCATGCATCAATAACTTTAACTCCCATTCCTTCTACATGACTGTTAAAAGCCTTTGCTGGTAAGCTTTTTGTAAAAGGATCTGCCAGGTTGTTTTCCGATGCAATCTTTGTCACTACCACATCTCCCCTTTGAACCATGTCTCGTATCAAATGATACTTCCTCTCAATGTGTTTTGCCCTTTTATGGCTCCGTGGCTCCTTCGTGGCTCCTTCGAGTTGCACTGCCCACTATTATACAATAAAGGGCAATTGCACTGAAGAAACTACGCCTAGATCCATAAGGAAGTTCCTAAGCCATACAGCTTCCTTTGCAGCTTCAGAAGCTGCCACATATTCAACTTCCATGGTGGAGTCAGCAACACAAGTTTGCTTAATACTCCTCCAACTTATGGCTCCACCTCCCAAGACAAAAGCATTACCAGAGGTTGACTTCCGAGAGTCCTTATCAGTCTGAAAATCCGAATCTGTATACCCAATGGGTACAAGATCGTCAGATTGATAAACTAACCTATAATCCCTAGTCCTTTTCAAGTACTTGATAATATGCTTGACTGCAGTCCAGTGTTCTCGCCCAGGATTAGATTGAAATCTGCTAACCATGCCAACAGCAAAACAGATATCAGGTCTGGGCCAACAAAGCAAACAGATATCAGGTCTGGTAACAACATTGCCATCATAAGGCTTCCAACTGCAGAGCCAATATGGAACTGCCTTCATGTTATCTATCTCCTCAGGTGTCTTAGGACTTATTGGTCCTTAGATAGAGTGATTCCATGTCTGAAGGGAAGAAAACCCTTCTTGGAATCCTGCATGCTGAAACGAGCAAGAATGGTATCAATAAAAAGTGCTTGAGATAAGCCAATCATCCTTTTCTTGCGATCTCGCATAAGCTTAATCCTAAGAATATGAGCAGCCTCTCCCAAATCCTTCATATCAAAACGTTGGGACAGCCAATCTTTGACAGAATTCAACATACCTACACAATTCCCTATAAGCAGAATATCATCCACATATAGTACCAAAAAACAACCTTACTACCATTCCATTTCTAATACACACAAGACTCATCATGACACTGATCAAAGCCAAAACTTTTAATCGCTTGGTCAAAACAAGTATTCCATGACCTAGATGCTTGTTTAAGCCCATAAATGGACCTATTCAATTTGCAAAGCAAATTTTCTTGTCCATTGTTCTTGGCCATTGTTTATGAACCTTCTGGTCTGCTTCATATAAATGCCATTCAATCAAGACTTCCATTTTAGGAAAGCTGTCTTGACATCCATTTTGCCAAATCCATAGATCATAATGAGCTGCAATGGATAGAAGAAGGTTCTATAGACCTTTAGGCATGGCTACCGGGCGAAAAAGTTTCCTGCATAATCGATCCCTTTCTTTCTGAGTAAACCCTTTCGCAACAAGCCCTTGCCTTATAAAGTTTGCACTTTACCGTCTATACCCGCTCTTTTTCTTATAGATACACTTGCATCCGATGGGTTTAATCCTTCAGGTGGTTTCTGACAAGTCCAGACTTGATCAGACTTGATTAGAGTACATGGACTCCATCTCAAATTTCATAGCTACAAGCCACTTATCAGCATCTTTATCTTGTAGTGCTTCATCGTAACAAACAGGTTCAATATTCACTTCTTCAGGGATTCTATCAAAAGCTTCTCCCAAAAGTGTATATCGAACCGGTGGTCGTCTAATTCTCTCACTACGACGAAGTACTACAGGTTCTGCAATCACACCTTCATCTTGCTGTGGCTGTAAAGCCGGCAAATCCATGACTGGTGGGACTACATTTGGATCATGTTCTGGAACTTCAACATGTCTGTCATCACCAGGAGGCAATGAAATGTTAGAAGCCCCAACATTGTGCTCCTGTATATTTGGATCAACAAAGCTTGCACTTCAGTTTCATACAATAACTCCCACTACTTTCAGGTGGTAGTGAATGTTAAGGTACTGAATGTTCAGGTTTCTTGATGTTGATTTTACTGGTGCGACTAACATTTCCTTCCACTGCTGCGACTAGGCAATGGAATGTCAGCTCCAACCAGTGTGGGTTAGGTTGTTGTTCTATTGGAAAAGGTTCTAGTTGGTATAATTTTCTCCTCTCAAATTCATAAAAGGCTAATGACTTTTGGGAATATGGTTTTTAATATAGTCCTTCCTCAAGATAATGTGCATTGGTGCTAACAATGACTTTTTATCTTGAGAACCTATAAAATAAACCAACCTTTTCGTTCCTCTAGGATGATCCAATAAAAGAAGCATAAAGTTCTGTTTTTTGATTCCAACTTATCAGGGGGTGCTTTTCCCCTTTCAGCAACATGGGCTGGACAACCCCACATCCGAACTGTCTTAGACTTTGGCTTTCGCCCACGCCCAGTCCACAGTTCTGTAGGAGTTTTAGGTACTGACTTAGATGGAACCAAATTCAGAATATATGTTGTTGTTTCTATGGCATACCCCCAAAACGAAATGGGCAAATCTGAATAACTCATCATTGATCTAACCATATCCATAAGCGTCCTATTTCTTCTTTCTGCTACACCATTATGTTGTAGCATACCAGGTGTAGACAACTGTGAAGTAATTCCTTATTCTGATAAATAAGTAATGAATTCTCTAGAGAGGTATTCGCCACCACGGTCAGACCGTAACGACTTGTTTTATGATTTATATGTTAAGTTAAGACAGTGTCTCCGGCACCGAATGTGGCATCTGCTGTTGGGTCTCTCGGGACTGGGCGGTGGGTGTTACATAAATTCTTTAAATTTTTCAAAGCATTCAGACTTATGGCGCAACAGTTAACTATACCCATACCTTGAGTAGTCATCTGTGAAAGTCACAAAAATACTCAACCCCTAGCTTGGACACTCATTGGGCCACATAAATCAGAATGAATTAATTCTAAAACATCATTGGCCTTATTATCCTGTAAGGGAAAATACCTCTTGGTCATTTTACCTTCTAGACATGATTCATAGGTTGGTAGTGCCTCCACTTTCAATGAACTCAAGAGTCCATCTTTGACCAACCTAAAAATTCTATCTAAATTAATATGACCAAGCCTTAAATGCCAAAGATATGTGTGATTGAATTCAATAGGACATTTTCTTTTTAATGATACAACAACATCAAAGTTATTTATTTAAAAATTATTAACTTGCAGTTCAGGTGATACTTTAAGAATAAATAGATCATCAATCAATGAGCCAGAACAAATCATTTGTTTTCTAAATTTAATAATGACAGAATCATCATAAAATTCATTAAAACAAACTGAATAACCATTCTTATTCAAACTAGAAACATAAATTAAATTCCTTCTAATTGAAGGAACATCAAAACATCCCTTAATACTATTATTCTATTATTCTTAAAATTAAAAGTAACACTCCCTACAGTTAAAACTGCAACTTTAGTGCCATCGTGCAGAAAGATGTTGACTTCTCCTTCACTTAGCTGGCGTGTTACTTGAAACCCTTGCAAAGAATTGCAGACATGATTAGTGGCTCCTGAGTCTACAAACCATTGAAGTGTAGTCAATATCCCTAAATAAGTTTCAATAACCATTAAATAGAAAAGAGATGTACCTTGCTTTTTCTTGGCTATCTAGGTTGGATATTACTGCTTCCAGTGACCAAGTTGCTTGCAGTGAAAATACTTGCCCTTGGGCTTTTTCATAGCACCATTTGCACTATTAGCTGCACCAACTGTTTTGGGCTTGGGCTCGTGAGCCTTTTTCATCTTCTTACCCTGTTTATGGGCAGAAGAAAAACCTCGCTCAAGATTAAGCACAACATGTGTAGCTCCTTGTTAATAATAGTCTCAGCAGCCACCAGCTCATTCAGCAACTTAGAGTAAAATCCATCTTATTCATGTTATAGTTCGAACGAATTGCTGAATCAAACGAAACTGCTGAAAACTGGCTGGCAAAGTGTTCAAGATCATTTCTATCTGTGTAGCATTGTCAACCTCAGCACCAAGAACCTCCATGTTATTCAGAAGACTCATCATCTTCAAGACATGAGTTCTAACTGGGGTCCTTCAAGACATGAGTTCTAACTGGAGTTCCCTCCTCCATTTTGGAAGTAAGAATCTCCCCCAGTGCGTTTTGCCTTGCTGCACTAGTTTGATCTCTAAACATCTCCTTGAGATTTTCGAGCATGTCAAAAGCTGTGTCCATCTTCTGATGCTGATGTTGCAAAACATTTGACACAGAAGCCAAAATGTAACATTGCGCCATCTCATCAGCTTTAACCCATTTCTGGTAAGCTCTGGTGACCTCCTCAGAGGCACCCTCACCGAGTTTTTCAGGACAAACTTCAGTAAGCACAAACTGATACTCCTCAGCAGTAAGCAAAATGTCCAAATTCCTCTTCCAGTCAACATAGTTTGGACCCTCAAGTTTATTTTGGGTTAAGATGTTTGCAAGGGGACTGAATGATGCCATTTCTATATCATGCATTAAACAAAATTAGCATATCAATAATAAACATTGAATAAATTCAAGATCTGCAATATACAACTTGATAAGTACAATTCAAGAAAAAAATACAGCATTCACAACATTTCATTGAATAGCAACCTCGATGGGAGAAATTCAACACAATCACATGTTTGCATATTTATAATTAGATAAGACCGCACATACTACTCGATGGGAAGGATAACATGACCTCTTAAATTAACATTAATGGTGTGAGAAAATATTACATATCTGATTCATGTCACTAATTAATTTACAGAGTTAAATCAATACAGACAAATTAGACTAGTTCAGTAATTATATTAAAACATGACATCTTCCGATGGGGAAGAAATGCAAATAATTACAACTAGAAAATAAAAAAATTTTCGAAATCATTTTCAGGAAAGAAAATGCTTTGCAAAGATGGAGGATTTCCAAAGCTTGAAGTCCTCAAGCT